TTTCAGAGGTCATACTGCCTCCGTCATCAGGACGATTCTTAGTATGAAGATTTCTGTCTTCTGGGTTGTTGCGCTGTGTAGTCTGGTAGATGTTTACCAACGTTTCAGAGGTCATACTGCCTCCATCATCGGGCTCTGATGATGTATTTAATAAAAAAGTTTCCAATGAAAATTGTGAACTACTTAATCACGTCCTCAGCCTATGAAATATTAATTCCGACTAAAGTGGAAGTGTAAATAATACCAGAGTAACACAACAGATAAGTCTAAACTTGCGGGTGTCCATTGCAGGGCTTGGACTTAGCATTCCTTCCTTTGTCCCAACTAATTCGCACAGTACTGTAATAATTGGTGCCTTTCTGCTTCCTGTCGTTCGGTAGAGAATAAAGCAAGGCCACTGCGGTGGATGTGTGACATATAAGTAGGATTTCTTAGTATCAGGGCGATGACTCATTTCCTCCTAATTGTATTTGAAAGATCAAGAACAGGATCCTTCCATCCTTTTCTCGGACTGGGACCTGTTCATATACGTTCTTGGCAGATGATCCAGAAGTGGTTTGCCATTGCCTTCTTCTGTGTGTGAATGGAGTAATTGTTGGGATGCCACGGAGGAAAACTCCGTGTTGCCTAGGCCACGGCCTTGCCCAACACAAGTTATAAATTCGGGCACCGCCGGGAATCGAACCCGGGACCCCAGAATTACAAGGCCAGCGTTCTAACCGCTAGACCACAGCAAAGGGTTTTTTGTCCCGATAACTGCGTATGGGACACTTAATCTTAGCACACTGCTAGGACAAATACTGCAACACTTGGTGCACCTGTGAAAAACCTGGTGAGCATAGTGATTGTTGGAAGTTTGAGCTGCGAGACATGCCGTCAGTACATTGTTGTACCTACGATGACTGTGTCATATTGTTGGGAGTTGTTAACTGTTTCGTAACAACGGTTTGTTGATATATTGTATGGCGAAGAAGTTCAACAAGTTTAGTCGTACTTCCTGTGAGAAAATAATAATTAAACGCGTTTAATTGTAAAGTGTTGTTATTTTACTCAAGTTACATTTTACCGTAAAGAATTTGCTGAGAAGAAAATATTCGTCGCGATCTTTAGGCTTGTGAGTACATCATGGTGAAAGAAAGATGTCGTAATGCTAGAGCCTCCAGTCAACAGGAACAGCGTTCCTCTGCACCGCACATCACAGATTTACCAGCCGAAGTTCTGGTTAACATCTTCCAGTATTGCCCTTACCATGAAGTGGCTAAACGGTTGAGACCCTCGTGTGAACGATTCCGTGACATAGCAACAATAGTTCTTAATTCGGGGTTCACGACCTTGGGCCCCAGGATCGACCGCTCTATGGTGGATGTTGAATTTCGCGTGATGAAGGCTCAAACAGAAAACGAACAAGTGAAAATGATTCGGGCTTTCAATGCTTTGGAGGCACTGAAGTCACAGGTAAGAGAGTGAGGGAGAACAATTCTGTTTCTAAAATATGCACGTATCTCCTGTTTTATAAGACGACACAAATTTCGTCACGCTCTTGAAAACACCGCGTTAAGCGTGACTGAGGCCTCGTGGTAAGGTGGGGGTTAGGGGAACAAGGGTCGCTGTTGACTCTCATCCTGACCGAGTTGATGTTCCACAGTAGGAAATATAAAATGAGCGACATTGGTGATTTTGTTTTGAATTCCATCGCAGACCTGCCCTCTGAACGCTACTGTTGAAAAAACTGAGTACAAATTGAAATCGACGGATACTTGAAAACCGCGTTATGCGTGGGTCTGCTGTACACATTAATAACCCAAATTTAAGCCTATATATAGTTTATAACAACAATGGAGCCAGGTTGTGCGTTTTAGTGGATAAAACAAAACGGTCAGTAATTTAAAAACTAATTGGCAATTACGTTAGAGTTCTATTGCTTTTACTATACACCTCTACAGACTGTCCTTATGCAACAATGAAGGAAGGTTGAATTCATTGCAGATGAAACCAACTAATTAACCCTTTTAACCCCAAAGCCTATTTGCAAAATCCTATTGAAAAAACTCAGGCCAATTTTCACGTATTCACAACTTAAAATGTAGACATCTTATTAAAGATGCCAGATATTGAAAACAGCCCTGTAAAAGTTTAGTCGTACTTCCTGTGAGAAAATAATAATTAAACGCGTTTAATTGTAAAGTGTTGTTATTTTACTCAAGTTACATTTTACCGTAAAGAATTTGCTGAGAAGAAAATATTCGTCGCGATCTTTAGGCTTGTGAGTACATCATGGTGAAAGAAAGATGTCGTAATGCTAGAGCCTCCAGTCAACAGGAACAGCGTTCCTCTGCACCGCACATCACAGATTTACCAGCCGAAGTTCTGGTTAACATCTTCCAGTATTGCCCTTACCATGAAGTGGCTAAACGGTTGAGACCCTCGTGTGAACGATTCCGTGACATAGCAACAATAGTTCTTAATTCGGGGTTCACGACCTTGGGCCCCAGGATCGACCGCTCTATGGTGGATGTTGAATTTCGCGTGATGAAGGCTCAAACAGAAAACGAACAAGTGAAAATGATTCGGGCTTTCAATGCTTTGGAGGCACTGAAGTCACAGGTAAGAGAGTGAGGGAGAACAATTCTGTTTCTAAAATATGCACGTATCTCCTGTTTTATAAGACGACACAAATTTCGTCACGCTCTTGAAAACACCGCGTTAAGCGTGACTGAGGCCTCGTGGTAAGGTGGGGGTTAGGGGAACAAGGGTCGCTGTTGACTCTCATCCTGACCGAGTTGATGTTCCACAGTAGGAAATATAAAATGAGCGACATTGGTGATTTTGTTTTGAATTCCATCGCAGACCTGCCCCCTGAACGCTACTGTTGAAAAAACTGAGTACAAATTGAAATCGACGGATACTTGAAAACCGCGTTATGCGTGGGTCTGCTGTACACATTAATAACCCAAATTTAAGCCTATATATAGTTTATAACAACAATGGAGCCAGGTTGTGCGTTTTAGTGGATAAAACAAAACGGTCAGTAATTTAAAAACTAATTGGCAATTACGTTAGAGTTCTATTGCTTTTACTATACACCTCTACAGACTGTCCTTATGCAACAATGAAGGAAGGTTGAATTCATTGCAGATGAAACCAACTAATTAACCCTTTTAACCCCAAAGCCTATTTGCAAAATCCTATTGAAAAAACTCAGGCCAATTTTCACGTATTCACAACTTAAAATGTAGAAATTCACCAAGATAAGAATTTTACACACATGCATGTGAAAAAATCACACTTATACACTAAATACTGTAGATTAGGAAAACAAATATCTCATATATCGTAATGTTATAATTAGCTTACAAACGATTTTGAAAAATTTAAAAATAATATTTACAGAAAAAAATTCATTTTCAGGAGGTAAAATCATAAATTGTGTTTTGTCTTCCTCCTTCACCACTCGTCCTGCAAGAAAGAACATTTGTTTCTGCATAATTAGATATGAGTTTGGTGCCTGTACTGTTATCTGCTCCTGAACTACAATACTTTTTGTAAAACAATGCACACGGAAATTCAATGCCGGACATAGCGTCAGCAGATGTGCCTTTTTTCTGCAGCACAGTCATAATCACTTTCAGTACATTCAGACACACTTTCCGGAATAATCGGCTCCATCCATTCTTGAACTTGCACCAGCCATTGCCGAAGTGAGAAATCTAATATAAAAAAACACACATTTACAAAACACTCATTTTAACAAAAATACAGCGAAATTCCCAAGCAATCATTGTAATCACGCACCACTTTCGAGCTCAACGAATTTCATTTGTTCAAACAAAATATTTTTTGTTGGCCTAGAAGATCGATCTGTAGAGCAAAACATGAACTTAGGTATAAACTATCTGATGCAGCCTTGTTTTGCCATCTGGGAGCCTTGTATGTAATTGAAACATCAGATTTAGCAGGTAACGACGGATCAGTCGAATTTGTGGCTTATCAGCTACTGCTTCGGTCGACGGATCGGCCGGCTGGAATGCAAAGAGTTAAAGAAAATTAGGAGATAACATGATTGGTTCATGTTGCGTGATAACTTAAAGGATTTCAATATAATGTTTTAACGCCTTTCATCCCTAAATTCTTTTGTGATCGGTTTACTGTGGTGAGAGACCATAACCGTGTAGGAAGTCATACACATTTCATGCACGAGGCAAGGAAACTTGTTCAGTTCGACACATTTTAATTTATGTGCTGCTGTCATGCAGCGATTCTCAGGTTTTTCCAAACTTGGGACGACATTCAGTCAGGACCGTACTTACACGTCTCGGGGCCCGAGGCGCTAAGCACTTGCGGGGCCCCCTTTAGAGATATCACAGTAAAAAAAATGCATAAATAATATAATCAGAAAAAAATACCGTCTTTATCAGGGCTGTGAAAATGGGGGGTCAGCTGAGTGCGGCGCACTGGGGCCCCGAATCTAGGGGTCCCCGATCGATAAAGCACATAACGTTTAATATTTTTAATTAGACATAATAATATAATTTTGTCATTGGTTGTCACAGAAATATAGAAACCTGCAGACAATAAGACGAAAGGAAATACGAGGTGCGATTGGAAAGTTTCCAGACTGTGTAAATAGAGGGCGAACAGGATGTAGTACGACCTTCTGCCGCTAGGGGGTGCGGCCTACATTCATAGTGAATCTGTGTGCCAGCCGGCATCATCGAATCAGAATTTGTTTCTTAGTTACGGTCGTTTTGGTAGTGCATTACACCGACCCTCCTGCGATTTCGGAATGGCGTGTGCATCAAATTTTGCCAAAGACTCGCCAAAACGTCTACGGAAACCTATGAAATGCTAAAGCAAGCATTTGGGGAGTCCGCAATGGGTCGTGCACAAACCACATGCGACGCATCGCAGCCAAGTTTGTGCCAAGGTTCCTGTCTGAGGACCAGAAGCAGAATCGCCTTGACTTCTCGTTTGTCAGGAGCTCAACGATCTTGCAAGAACCGACCGCAACTTCCTTCCTAAGCTGCGTGTGACTTCTTCCTCTTCCCAAAGATGAAAATTCAGCTAAAGGGAAGGCGATTTGAGACGATAGAAGAGATTCAGGCAGAATCGCAGATGGTGCTTGACAGGCTGGCAAAGAAAGATTTCCAGGGATGCTTCCAGGCTTGGCAGCGGCGCTGGGATCGTTGTGTTCACTCCCAGGGGAACTACTTCGAGGGTGATGGATGAATTTAATACCTGAGATAAGTGTACGGGTTTTTACACGCGCAGTCTGGAAACCTTTCGATCGCACCTCGTAGTTGGCGTGCCCCGGTCTCCCGACTTGGTTTAATATTTTCTTATCTCAAATAAGTAAGGGGGCCCCGAATTCTTCTTGCACCAGGGCCTCAAGTACCTTTGCATGCCCCTGATATTTATCATTGTAATTTTTACGTAGTAAAATTCTTGTTTCTTTTACTTTTCGTTAAAATTAACTTTATTGGGGTCCCCTTATATCTACGGGGCCCCAGGCCGGCGCCTCATGCTGCTGTGTCTAAGTACGGCCCTACATTCAGCCCTTCATATCGATTCGCGGGCCTCAAGGTTTATTTGAGGACAGATCATTTAAACACCATAGCAATTTATTAAAAATCCTAATAAATTAAACATACTATTACAGTATTTTTTAACACAATCCGTAATTAATGGGTTATTTAGCACTGCCTTTGCTTAATTGATTTTTAATATCAGGTTTAATTTCTGGCGTTACGTTAGCAACTATGTCGATTTTAAATCGATAAAATTGCATGCTTTTTCATATCGATAGCCATCAGTTCCCATGTTTGCTTGCAGTACCGCATGCTTCGGGCAGTCACGTGGCGATACGTCTGCAACCCTTTCAAAGGCCCAGGACCTCTCGCCTGCTTCTACGGCGGATTACTTATAGATAAGTTCCTGCAGCAGATGTGGCTGTTACGGCAGGGCCATGGCTCTTTGTATCTGTTGACCATCAACATTCATGAACGAGATCATGAATTCTCCGACTTTGGCCACCTTCGTGATCTCTGCAGAAGGTTTATGGATGACTTCGAGAAGAATACAGAAACGAAGTTTAACGTCAATTACTCGATCTCTGGGTCGAAGATTGTTGACCTGTTCGATTGTTTAGTTGAATACAAGACGGTGAAGCCATACGAAAAGGCTGTAGCATTGGACGGTTCGAAATGCCACATCATAGCTCATTACAGGTACGTACAGGTCCATTAATGAAGAAAATGCCTTCTCGCCCTTATTCTTGATACTTTTCTACTCCGTCAGATCTACATTGAGTTTTAACAATGTTGCTTCGGTTCGCAAAATAATTCTGGCTGTGTAGTTGTATTCTTAGGAAGCCACGGTGGTCTAGCGGTTAGAACGCTGGCCTTGTAATCCTGGGGTCTCGGGTTCGATTCCCGTCGTTGCCCGAATTTATAACTTGTGTTGGGCAAGGCCGTGGTCTAGACAACACGGAGTTTTCCTCCGGGGGCTTCCCCGGTTTCTCCGTGGCATCCAACAATTACTCCATTCACACACAGAAGAAGGCAATGGCAAACCACTTCTGGATCATCTGCCAAGAACGTATATGAACAGGTCCCAGTCCGAGAAAAGGATGGAAGGATCCTGTTCATATGGACCTGTCGTCAGACAGAACACTAAATAATATAGTTGTATTCTTACACTTAAAATTATTCATTGTCAGGACTTTTTCCATCGTCTGTTCTTTAAAATCACGACGTTTCGGAGGCTGGTTCTGCACCTACTCTGTTGGGTCCCTTAGATAGAGCTAGTCTCTGTCACTGGACAGTGACTTTTATTAATTTCCAATCAGTCTGTTATTAATCTGTAGTTATTATTTAAGCACAAATAAATAATTTCAGATTGTAACCTTTTGTGTAGTTGTTATATGTATAGGCCTATGCATATAACTGCAGTCTACACAACTTCTATTACCGCAGTAAACTTCATGCTACATGTTTCTGTCGTAACAGGCCATCTTCAGAAATGAAAGTTAAATGTCACAAAATCATAGAGTAGGCGGCAAATACATCATGTTTTTGTAACTTACAACTTACGACCTGTTACGTAGCGTCTGAGTTATGAAAATATGTTGTTTAAATGTTGAAGATAACTTTTTGGTACGTACAATTTGTTATGGAATTGGGTACTTTGAAATTACCTTTAAGGTTGACAATTAAAATTGTACGAGAGTGCTTGCTGAATGTGACGTATCAAAACAGAGTTCGCTGTTCACGCAGCCATTTTGTGTCAGCTATGCTTGGCCCAACCTCTGTTTAGTAACTTAGATCTGTTTGTTTACTACCAATATGATGCAGCGTAACCCGGCTGAAAATCGGTATCTGAATATATCTTGCCCTCGTAAAATGCTGCTCTTTTGTCGCGTGAATATCAGAATCTTTAATGTGATGGCCAGTAAAAAACGCCCCAGTGATAATAATCGTACAGAATAAAATTTTATCCGTGTGGAGATTTTTGTTTTGTTTCGGTAACACTGTATTTCAAGTATGACACCTTCTGGATCGGCAGAAAAGAGATATCTTAATTGTTTAAGTGTTCTGTGCATAAACAGCATAAGGCAGCAAAGGAAGTGTGCCTGTCGGTTCGTAAATTTCATCTCCAAAATTACTCAGTGGATTTCGATTAAATGTGGTATTGGAGTCAATAATAAATTGCTGAGAAAATTCCGTTCGATTAAATATAAGTCATAAGTCTACGATATATGAAGTTAAAATCGAACTCTCCAGATTCCTTTGTATATAAAACAGATTTCAATAACATCTACAATTTTAACTTAAAATATTACTCGATTTGGTGAATGTCATCTAATGAAGATGATTGTAAGTTATGTGAACAGTTCTTCAATTGTGCCTTTACATAATTATTTTGTTGAGTGTTGAATGGTGACTTGATAAGCACAGGAAAACCAATGATATTGTAATACTGATATTATTATTTTAAGTGAGAATTGTGGAAAGGTAATTGACAGACAATCTTATTCAATACCTTCTACTATTGGCGATAAATGATTAACTACAGCAACCATTTGGGGGGGGGGTAAATTAAGAATATTGTCGAAGTGCAGGGGCGAAACCTATTTCGAAGCGATATCATGCGATTTAAGAACACGAAGAATATTTATAAAATATATAAAAGTCACCGCACTGTAATTTTTATTACAAAGAACGCATTTCGGAACTACATAAAGATGTTTAGCTACCCCGCTGTGAACTGGAGTCCACCTTTCCATTGCTTCATAAGCACACTGCCCTTCCCATCAGATCCACTCGTTTCACGTAAAATTTGTCCTCAAGTTTATATGACGGTCTACCTGACTCATGCAACTAAGCCTTTGAAAAGCTCAGCTGGTCAAAAATCCCCCGTAGTTTATATAACCAGAAGGTCCATTACCGCGTTCACAAAAGCCCAACACCTGTTCTTATCCCAATTTAGATTAATTCAATTTACAGCTTCCAAGATCAATTTTTTATCCTTCGATTTACGCTTAGGTGTTCCGCATGGTGTCTTTCCTACACACTTTCCAACCGTCTAGCTACATACCCCTTGATTTGTTCATCATAATAATATTTCATCAAGAGTACAAATGACGAAGCTCCTCATTACGCAGTTTTCTCCAGTCTCCTGTCACTTTATCCCTGTTATGTTGAAATATTTTCTTAAGCGCCATGTCCCCTGTGTGTTTTGCGATTATCACATTTCTTTGTTTTTATATGCAGTCGAACTTGATTATAGTGACTTCGGTTACAGCGACGCCTTAGACCACTCAGGCCAGTTTCTGTGGTATAGTCGGCGCAGTAGTTTTTGGCCGGTGGAATTTTCAAGGGGAAGGCTAGGAGCGAGTCACTTGTGCGATAGTATAATGCTGACTGCACGGAGGAGCTTATCGGACTGAACGCCCAAACAAAAGAAATGCACTGACCGTGCCACCTCAGGTACACAGACAAGGCCCGTCCGCCAGCTTCTCCACCGGCCAAAAACTACTGCGCCGAATATACTAATTTTACCTCCATAAATGCATGTTTTTCTGTCATACGTGGAAAAACCATTTCGTTTATAACAACATTTTTTGCATGGATGCACACTGAACCTCTGCGAAAAATGTAAATGGACTTTCTCCTATCACCATCGACCCGTTTTAAACAATGCCGCGTGACCTTGAGTGATCCAACTTCTCAATTCCCTCAGAAAATGCATGGAAAAGGTACCGTAGCTTCAGTATAATCCGTGTTATTCTTCCTGGCCTCTGGCCATCGTGTTAGGGGAATGTAGGGGAAAGTAGAATGGGGGAGCTTTCTCACAAGCAACGCACTTCACTGCAGCGGGCTGGTCCGCAACTACTGGTCCAATGAAAAACATCTGTCATACGCACCTAATATTTGAGACATGCAGAAAACAACTCCGGATTTGTATAACACTACAATGTAACTAAAACAACACCACTAGAAGACATTTTCACTCCACCAAAGTATTCGAATAGGAGGCATCTGAGGCTACCGAATGTTTGATGAAAGATTCTCGGGCTATAAGCTGCATCAGATGTTTGTCTCTACGTTGGTATCACAACTCGGCAGTGTCAGTAATATAACCTCACGTGTGCAGAACTACATCACAACTAACCCCTTTGTGAAGCAATATCGGAATGTGAACTCGCCCAAACCCACGGCTCACCCAGGAAGAATAAAACGGACAGTAAAGAAACAGGCTACGGAACGAGACAGAATGGCTGAAGTTGCCAAAGAAACGATAAGTGTTCAGTGTAGAGGCTAAAGTTAATGCGATGAAACGAATTGTGAGTAGAAAGGAAGAGCTGATGTGTGCCAGGAATAAAGTTTACATAATTCGAAAATTCATACCATATGGAAAATAAGATGTAGTTTACATTTAGAGTCAACTTCAGTTCTGTACAAAAATCATCCTCTGTATTTCTTCTTGAAATGTGATTTAATTAATCACTTCATCATTTAGTACGACACTCGTTTTTAACTACGTAATTTCTCTGGTACCTTGGATGACGTTATAACCGAGTTTGACTGTACAGACTTGAAAAGGGCGTTCAGTTCGTATATAGGAATAAAGCGATGTCGTAATGGCAAGACACAAGGTGCACAAGCCAGGGCTTATGAGCAGTTTGGACTCCAGCTGAAAAAATGTTTACGATAGGAAGGCAATTTCGCCAGTGAGCGCAACGTCTGTCTAGCCAATAACAATTTAGAGTTGGGAACGTGATTATAAATATTATTAGCAAAAGGCATTTCGAGAGGTAATCAGTACGTATAGAGTCTTAAATTTATGTAGCTGACACTTCGCCCATTTTATCTGTGTGTTTTATAGTGAATCCTCCATAGACCAGAATTCATTACTACAATGAAGCTGTGTACAGTTATGGTACCGATAAACTTCATTGCAGTGTTATTTGTAATGCGAATTTTATGAAACAACAGTACGGTGGGGTAGAAATGTTTGGGTTTCCACGAGACCCTATGATCGAATCAGATATTTTGGAAATTCACAGCAGTGAACAATATTTTTGAAATCCTCTATTTTCAAAATTAAAAAGAACTGTGAAGCCCAGCAGATGGTGCTTAGAGCGCAAACCTCTTATAATGCTGAAGGTATGAATGCGAAAGTTTCCAAAGGATACTAATAATGTTCTGTTGTGTAAACTTAAGTTTTTACCAAGAGTTAATTTATGTTAATACTTGTTATAATGTGGCATTCTTGTATTTATTCCACCCTTTTTAAAAGTTATTTTATAACAGATTATCTAAATTTTTAATTTTCGGTTAAAGCAGATAGACCCCGCTAAATTCGCCTCCTGATAATCGGGAGTCTACGTTGAGTACAGTGATAACATTACTTTTAGCTTCTTTCGTATTTATTTTTAGGTGTTGGACCTGTCAAGCCTTTCTGATGGTATTTGTTCTTCCAGTTCAATATTATCGTAAAATCCAGTAAAATTGTCACGTCGCCGAATGACTATCCACAGTAGCAGGGTACACATTTCTGTGCTTGAAGATTCTCAGCTGATAACTGATAGGCATAATGTATCTAGCAGTAAAAATATCGACTGATCGCTCACTGTTCGCACTTTAACGACAAGAGGGTGATAAACGTGTCCTGTTCTATGTAATATTACGTTACATTAAACCTATGTCGGTGTCCCTATCAGGGACCGAGTGAGGTATCCAGAGGACAAATAGAGCCGCTGGCTCCCATTTTATGGCCGCCAGCGGACGAGGATTAATTCAGTTTATTAATTCTAAAGCAAAGTGGTTAGTAGGTTACGCGTTTTAATCTTTTCGTGTCTTTTTCGCGTATTTTGTACTGGTGTCAGGACCTTATATTATTAACTATGGTCTATTCCAACTAAGATGAGAGGCGGTCAAAACAATTCCCCTCTCCTCCCACTCCTTTAGAAACACGTGGTAGCAATGTTACTGTCTGTCCTGCAAACATCTGCTGCTATCATTGTGGTACTTTCTCTATTACTGTAATGCTCTATGCCTACTACATTAAAATATAATGCAACTTTATATTATACACACCAGTCACCAGGCCTCGCGAACAAATAAACTCTTACTTGATAACTGTGGTCTCACAAAAATCACTGTTACAAGTCACAGAACTCACGAAAGAATGTTTTCCTCATGGGTAGTCCGTCAACTGGCTGTTCAACGCGCTGTTACAATAGATACGCACCCGCCCCAAATCGTCGGCGCCGTGTAGTCTCGTCAGTAGATGCCAGCGTTTCGGAGAAACATCTGTATATGTCTTTGAAAGTGAAGGTTATTTAACCAGAAGACCATTTATTAATTGTTATTGGCGTATATATCAGCGTGTCTGCAGTTCTTATGTGGAAAGTGGGGGGGGGGGTCGCTGAACATGTTTTAGTATATTCTGTTATTTTGCAACGCTATACCAATTTATGACGTTTTGTAATCTTCAATAGCATACGGTAATTGGGGGGGGGGGGGGGGGGGGGGGTCGCTGAACATGTTTTAGTATATTCTGTTATTTTGCAACGCTATACCAATTTATGACGTTTTGTAATCTTCAATAGCATACGGTAATTGTCAGGGTCCGAACAAATCCGACAACCCGCTTTCCTGAGGCCACCTGATTTTGGGTGCTGGCATCTTGTTCTTGTGCTTTTGAGGGGTTATACAGGTTGGTCCTTATATGCCTGGCCAAACTTTGGGAGAGTTTTCTACTAAGTATGGAGAAAGGTCTGGAAATGCTTCACGTCCGAGTTATAGCCCTTCAAATCTATATGTTCATCACAGTCAGTATAATTCCTTTGGCTGGACTGCATTGTCTTTAGTTTATTCTGTGCGTTTCTGACTTTCAGGATGAGACGGAGTTGGTTTACCTGCTATGGGACGTCGAAGCCTAACGGCGAGACGACGTGGAATAACGAACAGAGGACCATGTATCTGCGCTTGCGCAGACTTATAACCAGAAACAACGAGATATCCCTGGAGCAGAAGCACTACGAACGAGAACTCATACTTCCTAAAGCTGACATTTCCACCATGACAAGGTTAAAAGCGTTCACGTACCGTGGCCACGGCGAACACGCGGGCCGTGGTTTTTACTACGGCACCATGAACCAGCCTGCCTTTAACTTCAAGTTCCGTCGTAACAACAGTTGGACCTCCAATGATATTGTTGATTATTATTATTATGATGATGATGAAGTTGATGATGACGACGACGATGATGATGATCTTTACGCAGACCTAGAATCATGTCAAGAACTCTCTCTTACGGATTTAAGTATTGACATAGAAGTTTATTGTCCGATAGAGCTGGCTCCAATAGAGTATATAGAAAATATTGATGTACCGAATTTTGAGTTTCGCTATAACTGCATGAAGAAGTCACCGAGTTCCAATCTCTCAATAAGACGGAATGAGGAACCAGAATTTGTTTTGACAATGGTTATAAATTGTCCTGAGTCGTCTGAGAACCTAGTGCCTTCCACGTTTCGATATGAAATAAAATCTGGTGATGTTTGTTGATGAACAAATACGCCTCCGATTATATAGGCTTCTGACAATGATGTATTGGAATCTGGTTGACTAAGTTTGCGGACTTATCCATCATCTGATATTCTAAATGTACAGAACAATCGGGAACCGGACGAAGACATATCCGGTTCTCGAAACGTTGTGTATTTTCAGATACCAGACGATGGACAAAGTCCAGGAACTCAGTAATGCAAACACGCCTTCATGTAAGAGCGCCCAACAATGATTTTAAGATGGCTGTCTTCTAAGTTACACAACCGTATAGTGCGGTAGAAATTAACCGACACATTTTAGGTCCTTGCTACCTCAATCATCACGGCGATTCCTAATGATGCAAGCAGCAAGTTTTTCTAAAACGATGGTAAACTTCTACCAAGCTACATGAAAATACAATTCTAATCAATTATTTCTCTGTATAGCCAAGCAGCAAACGAAAATAAACATAATTACTAGCATTTGCTTTGCATTTAAATTTATTCATCCAACAGGTTTAAAAACTAATTGTAAGTACGTGCAATAGCCGAGCGTGAATTGTTCAAAAGCGTTAGCCAAATCACGAGGTGGTGGGGGAGATCGTGATGTATACCATCGTACTTCATTTTCAGTTATTCAAAATCGCATGTCATTATACGGCACATGCGTACAGCAAAGATTACGCAGTTAAAATCCTGAAAAATATTACAGCGAACTGCATCAAAAGACAAGAAGCATCTTTTTTTATTGGGGCTGATTTGGGTTTCGTGGGGTTTTGTTTGTCTTAGATTGTAATGTCACGTGGTCCCTCCCTCCTCTTCCCCCAGCCCTAGTAGCCTATATAGCTTCTCTCTTAATTTCGCCTGTCACCTGAAGACGAGTGTAAGCCTCAATTAGCTGGCTAACAACGCTTGGCTGACTGGTCCTGATCGATTCTTCTATGTCCCAGTGTATGGATTACCACTGAACCACGAAAGTAACACTTTTGTGTTCAAAATGTTAGCAGGGTTAAGATATAAACAATCTGCCCTTGCGTATGTCAAATATTGAGTTCTTCGTATAATAAGCCTATGGTTAGTTGGAAGGAGACTATGTTTCAAAATACATTGCTGTTTGCTAAAGTGCAGAAGGATATTTTGCAGATATTCCGGCACATTTTTCGTATTTGTGTAACGAAACCCGTATTTTGATCCTGTTACATATTTTGTAAAACTTATTTTACTCAGCGCCATCTGTAGTTTGCAACCCTTACATCATGTGGAAATGTTTTTTTTGGTTTCTTTATTTCCGTGTGTCTAAAGCTGTCCCAAATAAATTTTGAATCACTTAATGTATTTTTTACGAAATTTAATATGAACGTTTTATGTTAAAATAGATTCTCCAAGAATATTCAGCTTTTGTTAAGGTAACTCTTTTATGCAATCTTAAAAAAAGAGACGTCCGAGCGAAGTATTTTTTTAGCTTTCAGTTTGACGCCGATGACCAGTGAATTACTAGGGCCGAGTTTGTAAAATTTTGAATTTAAGGAGAGTGACGGTATCAACAAATTATGCTCGAGAACTCTTTCGTGTTAATATTTGCAAACACGACGATGTTGTAAAACTGAGATTTTATCGGGCAAGTTTTAATTTCTGAACCTGTACTAGATGAAGTTATGCAGGCCAATTGAATGCTAAATCTTACGTACATAGACGAAAGTCCTGCTTCGAAATTATTTCCAGTCCCACCGTTGGCTATATTTTTAAGCAATTGAAATAAAGTGGGCATCGTGAAACTTCGCAGAACTTATTGTACGCCTATCAGGTACATTAATCTCGTTGATTACATAAATACATTAATGGTTTAGAGCAGGGTGGTCCAACTTTTTTCCTCGATCGGGCCAGAATAGTTTTCCTGTTGGACCCAAGGACCATTGGACATTGTCATTATCTTTAATAACATTTATTCAGAAATGACAAATTTCCATTGCATATGCTGAATTATAAATTTTATTTAAATGTGCACAAACTACTGCAGAGTTATATATTATTTTAAATTTGATTCTGTAACAGCTTGTATCTCTCACAATTATTAACTGAAAAACTTACACAAATTATTTGAACTCCGCTACTTTAACAGCTTCCGTCTGATACAATAACAATTTGTACCAGTAAAACGTATATCTTATGCTTTTAAAGTCAATGGCTTTAGTGAGAGCACTGAGCAGAATGTTCTTTTACCAGTGTCGGAATATCATCTTCGAGAAAAAATGGGTTTGCACTAACTAGTAACAAATTAACAAATAATTTCGTGGGCCGGGTTTGGCCCGCGGGCCGCCAGTTGTACCAAGCTGGTTTAGAACATAGTGGTGCGGTAGCCATATGTACCACCTGCTTATGCTGGTTTCAAAGCTTCATACCAAAAAGTAACAGGTGGATTGTGTAAAAGTGGCATGTAATGTCGATATGTATTAGATCCGTGGTTAAAGCTCAGCAGCTTCTGGACATCTTATTAAAGATGCCAGATATTGATAGCAGCCCTGTAGTGTCTAACATAGTAATTTATACTTTTAATAATTCACTGGTATATTTTACGATACAAACCGATTCTGAAGTATGTGATTTGTGCAAATAAATATTTTATATATGGTGAAATTAAAACACGGGGAATTTTAATCAGAATGACGACAAGAAATAAATAAAGGAAAAATAAAATAAATATCGACATCCTCGCACTTCTAGCCTCGCCATTGCAGTTAAAATAATAGGGCGAAAAGGTGAATCGATACACAGGAATATCGATTATCAGAAAGGTCGTTATAATCGATGTGATGGACAGAATTCTGTGGATCGCACTTAAATTGCGTTGAACACCAAAGGGTAGCAATAGCTACAGATGTAGTGTACTGTTCAAAAGCAAATATCCATTCCTAATTCCTTTAAAAAAACACACTTTTTCATTTACATATTTAAGTCATGTCAAATATTTGTTTTGCTTGTGAGATTTTTTATGTGACACCGTGTTGTATTTTCTTTGTTCTTTAAAATACTTTAAACTGAGTTACAAATTGAGTTTATATTTACCATAATTATTTTATTGGTCTTTCATATTATCAGACATTTTATTTTAAATAATCCTACCGTCCTTTGGCCATGTTAAATTGGATAATCGGAGCTCAACTCTAGTAATTTGTACTCTTTCTCGTTAAAAAAATGGTTACTGGACAGCTAGCGTTTGCTTTACAGGCGAACAACAATCACACATTATTTTTCGAATGTCACAATCTGCATCGAAATCTGGAATACATCATTGTAGTTAATGAAATATACAGAAGAGCCACATTCGGACATGTACGAGATTACGGATGACTGAATTTATTACGCTAACTGTACGCTTACATCACTTCTGGAACAAGATTTAGAAATTTTGAAGCTCTTAATCTTTTTAGCTCATCGCATTTTCCTTCCATCCGAAAGCTAGTGACGTAGACGAAAGGCACATCTTGGTTCCGACTTCTGTGCTGACGTAATACTTACGCTGCACGTTCTTCATTTTCTAGAAAGAAACACTGCACGCCATCTGCACGGACAAATAAGCAACACGGACTTTACTTGTAGATCGACAGTGCACGAGGTGTCTGCAAATAGATTTTTCCCACGAAATAGTTGCAGAAAACATTTTTCGTCGGTGTGCTTTTGCGATACAGTGACTTTTATCGTAAGGTAAATTAGATGGTTTACTTTAAGGATAGTGATAATCAATACAACTAAAATTCACTGATAGGTTAGTCGATGTGTGTAGGTTAAAATGGTTTGTATCAGGCCCTAGTAACTGCAAATGTCGCTCTAATTCAAGAAGCAAACTTTGTGGCCGTTATGTCAAAGTGTTCCTGCTTAAACAATTCACAGTGTAGATTTTATTTATACAGTGCCTTGATAATTTTTGTGTGGGAACGAACGTTTCATGTGAGTGGGTACTGTTTTTGAAACGTGTTTCACAATTTAGTCAGACATTTTGGAATGTTATATGCGCGCTTGAGTGTTTGAAGATATTTAACAGTGTGAACACTAGTTGTTTGTTTCCAAATAAGGACATATTAAACAAGATGTTGTGATCTTTACGTATGCAGCAGCGACACAACGTAAAATATTGAGCAACACACTTTGAATTCTACAGTGACCGACCATTGTTCCTTGAAGAAGACAGTTCGATGAACGAAAGGTAATAAACAGGTAGCCCTCGATTTACGCTGGGGATGCGTTCCTGAACGAAACGGCGTAAACGAAATCGGCGTGAATTGAAACTCATTTATAATGTAAATCAATTGGAAGTCAATGACATTGGCGAGTAGTATAATGGCATTACATTTAAAGCTCTGAAATAACGTAAATAAAATAAAGGGTATTTAAAAAATATATTTTATGCACTTACAATCAGCAATTCGTTGGTCCCCGCAATTGACTGTGATTCTTTCATGTGACTGATGTGTACAGTCACCTCTGCTGTCATGCGATAGTTGCATTCATATAAGACGCCGACCTATAGAAAATCGCATAGTAAAAATAACCCCGCTACCTCCGCAGAGATTGAATTAGTCCTTCAAAAGTTTAAAGCGCCATGAATGATATTGCATAAGAGCAAACCCGCATATGCAAAAGTTTGCATTTCACAAACAGCTTTTACCGATTCAGCGATCTCATTGGAGCAAATTCGCGTTAATGAAATACGTAATTGCAGAGATGACTGTATTTATAATTTTTATTCAAAATCAGCGATGTAGGAATTACGATTTAGTATAAGAATCAGTACGAGAAACATTGTAAAACGTTATAAACAATAGTAAAATATATTTTTATTACTTTTTGACTTTCTGGTTTCAAAATCGGCGTTATTCTGAATCGGCGCAAATGGAGGGCTACCTGTAAGTTAAATTTTATAAAAACGCATATATTTAGATTTAGAAAAGTTTTTATTTTTGCAGACACGGTTTCAGAAATTCACTTGTCTAGCCGCCATGGGTGAATAGCGGAGACACTGACTCATGTCTTTATTCAAATGCGTGGGTGGGATTTTGTCAAGTGACTGCGGGGTGTAGGATAGGGGAAACAAGGATTGTGTTTAAATTCGTTTGCACTGAGGTAGACCTAACGTTACTGCGGGATGTAATGTGAAGCCAAGTGGGATCCAACACCGGCGTATTCGATTGGATACAGACTCGAGAGGGGGAACATTTTAGAAAAGGGCGATACGCATTGCGACAGTGTACAAGGGCACCTAGACCTACAATACTTGAGGATGTTTCATTGGTTTTTCTTACATCTTTCCTGGCTGATGGGCTGATAGCACTTGAATCAGGTTAAGCACATTTTATTATGTTCATCTCTTTGAGAAGCTATTCCATGGCCGTTGGGATAGAAACAGACACATATTTCCACGTATAAGATTTATAAAGTAAACCTCTGTACAAGTGATAAAAGGTCTTGTCATAACCTTGTATTTGTGACAAAGTGTCTGTAAGTCAGAAGAAAAATTATTTGGTATAACTTGTTCGCTCAGACATGAGCTGTGAGATGCGCGTGACGGAGGGTAAAGAAGCTGTCTGCTAGCGGCAGTGGGGCACGTCGGGGAACAGCTTTCCCCGTACTACTAAACACAAAAACATGAGTGCAGATTGA